AAGAATGATTTTACGAGAAAAATCATTACAATAGCAAACACGAGACCTTAATGAACTAATAAATAAACTAATGAATTACAAATAAGCAATAATGCAGCAATAAATACAACCTCGGCAGTTCTCTGGTTGACGCGTTTCACTTACTTTAGCAAACCCGTTTACCTGAACCCAAATTTGAGAACTATATCAAGTAATAATTTTTGTCCGTCACTCTGAATAACTTCTTTCCATGCGGTCTGGCAAACTTCCACGAGTTTATCTTGTAAACATGCCGTGATATGATAACTTATTAATACAAAAAATGACATCCTTCCTCTCAGAATAATTCTCCAACAAGAGTCATATGTGCAGCTGTTGGTCCTAACTTATCTTTCGACGTACTTGACGTTCCGCCCCTTGCCTTGATAGCGATCAACTATCCCTCGTTTAACTAGGTATCGGATAGCAGCCCGACGTCGTAACGCGTAAGTTGGCTCCTTTCGAGTCCGAACCACCTTCCGTAACGTAACGTTATCGGGAACATATATAATATATCCTGACACGACGAGTAACGCAGAGTCCGGGCTTTTAAGACGCGACACGTAGAACATGGTTGCGCGAACAGTCAAGCAATGGTCGGCCGTCACTCGCTCACTAAATGCTCAGACCCCGATGCGATACGAGCTCTGTCCGAGATTCGCGTGCGTATATAGTCATATGGTCATACGGTCAGACGATCGTACGATCGTACGATCGTACACAAGCACATGTTCCTGTGTACTCGCTTGGTTGACAGCAATGGAGTAAACGCATGGACTCGGGTGAGTCGTTCGGAGTGGCCCTTTCATTACTGACTAGGGGAGACCGGGGCAAGTTGTCCTACCGGGTAAATTGACCAATATTTTCTTAACATCGATCTTAATTTTGTCGTACATTCTTAATCGTGTCCCACGCCTTTGATGGTACTTGACATAATTTCTTGCAACTTCGTTTATGTATAAAAAATTAAAACCCAAAAACTATGTTGGGAAGTACATTTTTTCAGTCTTCATTCTTTAACTTGAAACTACATTACATTTTAAACGTGGTAAGTTTAAAACTACGTAACGTGGTACACGAATGAAATGAAGAAACGTTATGATAAGATGCTCGATGACGTCGACGTAAAGATGTCTCGTAGGGTGTACTGGGTGAAACCTCTTTAGGTCTATCGATTCCTTTCTTCGCAATGACATTTTGAGTCTAAGAGCCAATATATCTCGTTAAAAGTAAGCGACATCGTAAGGCGGTAGAGTTTCCCCTTGGTTTCCTCTGCGCCCGATTTCCCAAGGTAGGACTGGCAGGCTGTTTCACCTAATCGCAGATCCATTCCCCAGAGATCACGAGGGAAGCACTTTAAAGTTCTAAGTCAAAGAGGAAAGACATCCCGAAGGTCTGGAAACACTGTAATCTGTAGGTTTTTTCCACAGGAACTTCCACTTCTCGGAAAGACTTTTCGTTACGTGATTATCGTTCCTCAAGATGATGTCGAGAAGACTCCATCGAGTGGACTCGGAAAACTAAAGTTTGCACCCGCCACGCAAGTATTCCCATTAATTTTAAGTACTTAAACAACAAATAGTCTCGTGACAGCGGACTGATTTTGTGCACTCGGCGCGGCCGAAGAACGATTAACAAACTCGCTGGAGTGCACGTGGACGGGAAGAACCGTACAGCTACTTTACTCCGTGGCATCAGCGAACCAATCAATTGAATTTGCAACGGCATAATATTTCTTCGTGCAGGACTGCCGTAACAACATATTGTATTTAGGTATAAAAAAAGAAAACATCGAAGAGGGAAGTACTGAGGAGGAAACTGAACCGAATTCTCGATGTGCGGGAATTCGTAAGATATTTCCTTGCCAATGAGGAGCTGGCAAGTCCGCTCGGTTTCCTTTGCCAACATGAATATGCATACACCCTCGAATGTTATTATCCTTGCATTAATTACTATAAATTGATTACCCCACCAATTGCGGGTGAATTCCCAACGGCATTAAGTGTTATTACATCATTACCGCTTGCCAAATATCTGCATTAAGTGCCTTTTCTCCGCAGTCTCCGGGCAATCAGGGATCCTCTTAAGGAATTTGAGCATCGATAAAAATGACTCTTGTTCAAATTACTTAGAGTGTCCTTCTATCGAGAGTAAGAACTGGGGGCACCCGGGAACACCATGAAAGTATGAGCAGTGCGGCCCTGTTGGGGACCTCGGAGTTAGGTGCCGGTGCTAAACATGTGTACGGTCGCCACATGTGCGTATCTGCCTCCTTGCTCATTGCGTGGCTCATTCCTCGAGGTCTTCGACTTGAAAAGGCCACGTTAACGACAGCTGCCCGCTGCCGGGGGGGATGCAACCCTTAAGACCTGGCGTCCGGTCCGTGGGGCAACACCCCCTCGGAGGGGGAGATCTTTTAAACACGCCTCGCGAATGCACGTCTTCGACTGAGGCAGTTAATGAGCCAGGCATAATGTTACGTGACACGTGACAAATGTTCTTTCGACCCATCGGGATATTTCTTCCGTAAATGATCTTTCAAATAAAACCGACCCGATTCGTCTTCTTAAAGAAAGTGTAATCTTGAAAATATAAACTTCGTGCAATGGATTTTGGATTTTTCAATTCAAAAGTTACACGAAGAGTGTATTAGAGTAATCTAATATTAGATGTCATCAAAAAACCCATTAAAGATAAAAGAGATTCGCAAAATTATAATTGACTGCAACTCTTTTTCGTTTCGATCATACGTGACATAGGTACTGCATTTATTAAATGATTAAACAATTTTCCAAACAGAAATTTTAGCCATCTGTTTCCTATGGATAAACAAATTTTATTCTCAACGGTGCAAACACCTGTATTTCAAATTTGTAATAACACCTTCGAATGTATCCATCATTGGTGTAATGACGGGGACAAGCTACTTGGTGACACCTAATAAGGATGAGAAGAGCAAACATTTACCGAAAGATGATACATCTTGTTTAAAGGGAAATAGGAATCGTACATATACGTGATGAGGTATAGTCCGTACATGTAGGAAAACAGCTTCGTCACCAAGCCGTGCGAACTTAATTCCGGCCATGTAATCCCGCAAGAATGGATTTCGGTGGTTCCTTTGACACTCACTTGTATTCGTTAGGCAGCCCTAGGGGTATACATTTGAATTAGGACGGTACATTACGCGAGTTATGGCTTGTTTGCGAAAACTAAACGCAGACAATCCCCCCGAAGCCATGCATTACCTTCTTCGATACGTTCCGGACTCTCCGGTGAATCATCGAACTTCCAAAAGTTCGTTAATTCACCGAAAGGGTCCAACGCCATCGCGATCGTTTGCGCCGTATCACCCTAAGCCAGTGACACCACATTTGCTTTCTCCAAATTCTGCCGTCCAATCAAATGTCAATGTGGATTCGAAAGGAGGAGAAACTTTGCTTTTCCCTTACAACTCCTTTTAAACGACTCCAGAATTCTAACAAAGTGTCACTCTGGACAGAACAATAAATCATACTTCAAGGTTTCGGACCCACACAAATAGTTCTGCCGGAAAGAATGCGCCTATGTAGTGGAATTGGAAAATTTAACGCCTTCTTGGAAAAACGACAAAGCGCGTAGGAAGAAGAAGTAATACGCGTACGCTTTCGTCCTCTTTTATTAGCCAGTTTTATTCCCGTTTGGCTTGAAAAAGAGTCGTAAAAAAGTAAAGAATAATTACGCAGCAGCAGCATATGTGTTTTTTATTTTATTTCGTTATTCCTTCGGGACGCTTTTTTATTTTGTTCCTATTTCGAATCACTTTCCATCTGCTATGCTGGCTAGCATTTAATGAATTAAAAAAGTGTATTCTGTGTGAAAAAAAAGCGTTTTTCTTATAAATAAAGAAGAAGTATTATGAGTATAATAGTGTCCTATTTCTTTGAACTATAAAAAATTCAATACATGTTTGATGTAATTCTTCCATATCATCGTTTTTTATAGTCAGATAATGTCTAGAGTACTGGCGCTCAAATGACTTCTACTGTTAATATTACTTAAAAGTTAAAATAATAATACGAGTTTTAAATGCAACCCGTTATATACAATTTCCTAGGTATCATATGCAGAATTCTAATACACGAACTTCATTGCACAACACAACTGTAGCATTACTAAAATTGGAATTTGTTTTCCTCGCAGGAGTGATTTTTGAATAACTACTTCTCTTGAATCCATTAATTGTTTTAAAATGAAAAAGAAACGAATTTTTCTGTACATTTTATGAAAATCATCCGTGGAATATACGATGAAATACCGTCATGAACGATGTAGAAGACACATATTTACGGTGCTGACCACCAAAGCGGGGACGATGACTTCAACCACTAGATGGCATTGGTATCGAATTCGGTGGGAGGTAAGAAAAATGTTATTTCTCACTCGGATGAGTGACACACAACCCATAATGGGCGATGTCTAGCGACGCTCTAAAAGTCTGTGCATCGCTTTGCACATTGGATTGTCTCATTTTCTTTCAAGGCGTGTCTTGTCCCTCTTCGAAAGAAGACGTTGGTCCTATGAACAAGGTCATTATCGAGCTCCTTAACTTCTACGGTCAAAAAATTCTACGTATCCGACATACGGCAACCTCCCGAAGGAGAACATTTTCCCGGATAAACGGCCACATGATCATTATCCATAACCAGGAGATATTATGTTCACCAGCAATGTTTGTACCTAATGTGTAATTATCATATGTATTAAGTTCTTCAAACTTGAATGAAAATTTTAATAAAGGATTCTTCTCTTTTATAGTTCATTTGTAAACGTTAAAGGTCAATAAATAAATACCATCAAGGAACCAACATTGGTGTAAGATTAAACTCGACACAGTTTCTATTGTCGTAACGCCCATGTAAAACTGCTATTATAAGCTGCGTTCCGTAAAATGGCACTTGATCTAAAAAAATGAACATAAGTATCTTTGCTTATTATTGCAGCGCTATGCGAGTCCTGCTGTCTAAACTTCCTCGCCCGTGGATAGTCGACGAAAAGAAGGACGATGGATATACGGCACTCCACCTCGCGGCTCTGAACAACCACGTGGAAGTAGCCGAGCAGTTGGCACGATCTGGAAAGGCAGACCTAGACCTACAGAACGTCAATCTACAAACGGCCCTTCATCTCGCCGTTGAACGACAGCACACGCAGATCGTCCGGGTAAGAAACCCTTTTTACCGCAGTAGGTACTCTCCAATTTATCGCAAACTGTACAGCGTTTAATTCCCTGACTAAAAATTGTCAGGTCATTATTAACGAATGGGTACTATTAATTATGTCCTACTTGAGGGGGCATTCTCATCTAGAGCTTCAAAAAATAGGTCACTTTTATGCCTTTCTTTCCCGTAAAAACATAACTACAACTTAATGCTTTTTAGTATATTTTTATTAATCTTTCAATATATTGTTTCAAGTATAATTTTTAAAAAATTAATGATTTGGCTGCTACATCATTGAAATTCCAAATACATGAAATATTTCCGGTATGATGGGTGACATGATTCCATTTTTTGTGACTAATAGGAACTGTAATTATTATAATGAAGTAGGTTGACGTTATGTCAAGGATTAAAATAATTAAAAAGAAATGCTAATTTATCAGTATTAAAAAAATACGTTACAGACGCACTTTGATGTGTTTCATAAGAAAAGGAAACTACATTTCTATCACCATCTACGTATTACGCTAAACAAAATAACAACAGTAAGTTACTAACATCCTGTACAAGGTGAGGCATGGGGAGTTCCTAACTCAGGTGTGGCTTTGCACGAACGATGTTACGCTCTCTAACTCCTAATAGTAATGAGATCAAACCGCTCCAAGTGGTTAAAAATCCTAATCGGTGAAGGGTCAACGATACATAATCGAGTCCAAGTCACAATTACACAGGATATGTATTTATATCATCGATCCAAACGTCACACAGTGATCATGAGTACTTTCAATGCGCAGGGTAAATTGCAGCATTAAAATCTAAAGCATGCGATAACGTAATGTATATAAATTAATATCATCATTCCACTCTCCCTTTCCCACTCAACCATTTGTTTCTCACTCTCTGTCCTCATGTTACTTATATTTATTTTAATATTTACGTTTATTACATTGTGCGCTGTTATGCCTATTTTCGTACATTATCTCTATTTCCGCCAGCGTAAAGATGATCTAACTAAAGTAAATAAAATAATCGCAAATGTTTCAGCTATTGGTGCGCGAAGGCGCGAATTTGAACGTCGCCGATAAGGACGGTGACACGCCGCTGCACGAGGCTCTTCGTTACCACACTCTATCGCAATTGCGTCAGTTACAAGACGTACAAGACGTGGAACGTCTTCTGATGGGCCTTGGAGCTCAGGGGCAAGACAAGAAGAGCAGCTCCTTTATCGCCTGCTTCCTGGCCGCTCACGGCGCCGATCTCGAACTCAAGAACAAGAAAGGCCAGACGCCGTTGGACCTCTGCCCGGATCCCAACTTATGCAAGACTCTCACGACTTGCCACAAAGATAAAGAATCGTTAGTTTGCATATTCCTTCCATTTACATATCGCGAATTCGTTCACTTTCTAGTACCTACCGTGGTACACGGGCAGGGCAGAACTAATTGAACTTCGTTTTGGAAGTTTAATTAACATCGATTGAACATGAATGATGAATTGAACCCTCGGTTCATGTCGCGGTTTTCGATTAACGTAGCTCACGTTCATGGATCCTTCGTGTTCCGGGTTTACTAAATAACGTTGAAATTCTGTAAATGAGATCAATTTGCATCGAAATATTCATTGAACCTCCTAGATCTGGAAACATCGACTTAGAAGAGAAAAAGCAATATTTGAATAATCGCTTAAACGGATTGAAGTTAAAAGAATCTTTGGAGATAATACGGATAACAGATTTCGGCCAGACACAAAAAACCTTCCGACATGAGCTGAGGGTTAACATCAAAAGAGATGAGTGTAAAACATCAAAACAATTTAAATACATCGTATATTTTACATTCCCGTAAAAGCAAAATGTACAGCAATTAAATGTTCATTTAACCCGAAATGAAGTATTACGTTGATTAGCAAATATTTATATTGTACATCGAAACAGCACTTATCTATTGTAAATGATCTTTTCGATGTTTTTTCGTTAGCCTTAACGAACATTTGTTAGAGATGAATTATTTGTAAATAACTCTTTAGGTCCGTGCACATAAAAATTCAGTCGTTTTAGTGTATAAATAAGTTCAATTTTCTATCATATATTTTCACGAACACATGAATAGAACTTTATTGCTCAACATGGTGATATTAATATTCGTATTTTGGTAGGCATGAAATCGCACCTCCACCGCCATCGGCTACCATAAACGAATGTCTAGTCTGCTCCGATAGAAAAAGGGAGGTACTCTTCGGACCTTGCGGCCATGTTACTTGCTGTAACGTATGTGCTCCCAGGGTGAAAAAGTGCCTGATTTGCAGGGAGAATGTGCTTTCCAGAACTAAGGTGAGAGCAATATATTTTTACGATGTGCTTGACAATGTACCAGAACGTGTCCAATGATTTTTTTTTAAAACGTTCTAGAAAATGTGAACAACATTGTCACGTTATAATTAATTGATTCATATTCATAATCGACTAAAAATGGTGGATTTGTGTAATTTCAAATGATTAAGTATAGTCAAGATTCTTCTGAGCGCGTAGTGTCAGAAAATGGCAATCGGACAAGGGCTGACTTTGAAATATGTAGAAATCGAGATTTTAAATAATGCTTTTTGTAAAATAGCAGACCAAATTAATTCAATTCTGAGACTTTATATCACTCAAGAATACCTCCTCGAGCTAACATCAAGCACTCTATAAAACTTGTCAACAATGTTACTAATTTTGCAACATTACACTTTCCCAGTATTTCTCAAGGCACTACATGGTATACAGGGTGCAAACTCAGACTCAAAACATGTCGCTAACTTTTAACCATGCAATGTTTTATACATAATTTAATTAATTTTTTTTTAATTCCATGAATTGTATCTGTTAGAGATATGTAAATCATATCTAAAACGTTTGTCCATATTGGTAAAAGCAGAAGAGATAATAATACATTCTGTTTCTAGTGGAATATCCTACAAAGTTTCTTTCAGTTCCTTACGTAATTTTTTATTTTACCCTATCTTTCCTTTCAGATCGAGGAATGCGTAGTTTGCTCCGATCGCAAGGCCGGAGTACTTTTTCGCCCTTGCAGTCATATGTGCGCTTGTGAAAGCTGTGCTGCTTTGATGAAAAAATGTGTCCAATGTCGTGCACAAATTCAACACATGGTACCGATGTCCATCTGTTACGGCGAAGAAGGTAATTCAGAAAGTTACTTGCGTACATTAATCCTTTGCCTACTAAAAGCGTCCGACGTTTGGTTTAATAACGTTTTTGGTTTAATTAATTATCATTAATGAATTTCGCCCATAGGTCAAAAGCGTTCGTACTCAAAGGGTAAAGGAGTACACTAGTATAACGATAAGTATAAAGACCTTTAGGATGTGACTCGCTTATAGCCGATCAGATCAGACCAGACCAGACCAGACCAGACCAGACCAGACCAGACCAGACCAGACCAAACCAGATTTGATCAGATTTGATCAGATTTGATCAGATTAGATCAGATTAGATCAGATTAGATCAGATCTGATCAGATTAGATCAGATTAGATCAGATTAGATCAGATTAGATCAGATCAGATCAGATCAGATCAGATTAGATCAGATCAGATTCGACAGAAAGAAATGTATTACTTCTTACAGACATGGCAACCCTATATCCGTCAAATCGGATCGAATTCGGGTGCAGTGCAGCCACGCCCGAAAAAAGTAATACATTTGTTCCTGCCGGAACTAATCTGGTCTGATCTGATCTGATCCAATCGACTGTCATGTAGCCAGTCTTAGCCAGATTTAACAGTCAACAGACATATCCCGTTAACGAAATTGTCGATGTGCCACGTCAATCACAACCATTAAATAGGATAGCTATATTTTGATAAAGTAATTGTCTTTTTTGTTTATGCGATAGTCGATGTCCACTCGTTGAAACAAATTTACTGTAACTTTAACTCCACGCATATAAAATAGTAATTTTATTAAGTTTTTTTTACTAAGATATTTGTAAAACCATGATACTCTTAGCCTTTAATACCTGGCACTACACTGAAAGTTGTTACATTCTCATATCGTCTTGCATAATTGTAACATCATCAATGACCAAATCAATATAAATGGAAAATTGTCGCAATATATGTATGCGTTCTGACCTACATTTACACTGCTGATCACATACTTCTAAAACGGCATAGTAAAGATCTAATTGTATTAACCTTTTACTCTCTTATGCCGAGTTGAAAATAAGATTAATATGGTATTTTAGAAAATGTTGATCATGGGGTATACTCTAATTTTAATCTCTAGAAAATGAATACTATTCAAATACTGGTACCCCTGATTTCAAAAAATAATATATTGCTATACCATAATTAACACAATGAAAGTGATGGGAATATGTACTGTATGATCTTTATCATTTTTATAGCACTGATAAATAGCAGATAAGGTACAATTAATTATGCGTTTGATTACCATCATTGATAAATTTGTTATACGCCAAGATGTTCTGTTTTTTATAAATATAAGATAGAAATGAGTAAAATAACGATGTAATCAAGGTATAAATGAAAAGTTACATAATTCGCAATCCCCCGTACTTCGGTGAAACGGTGCAACAACCGAGGATTCATAATTTTCCTTATTTACAGGATATTTATATCAGATCTTGCTTCACTTTTATGTGGAAACCGCAAAGCTGGCTTTGCAGTAAATACTTTGATGCAGACAATTATACTAATGTAATATATTTTTTCTTATTTTTCTTATGCCCACGTACATCCTCAGAGGTAAAAGCCGCTCCCGAAGAAGAATCTGCTCCATCAAACACCGAAGGAGGTGAAGCTGCATTAATGAATAATGGAAGCCGAGACACATCTCGTAGTGACATACAAAAATTACAACAACAGTTACAAGACATCAAAGAGCAGGTATAGCATGTTTACGACACATTTAAACAATATAGCTACATTTCCTAAACACTCTCCAAAACTAATTTACCATAAGAAACGTATTTAAAGAATTGCTGAGGTGTTTTGGAATAATTTGGATATTCGTTCCTTTCAGACCATGTGCCCCGTTTGCCTGGATCGCTTGAAGAACATGATCTTTCTCTGCGGTCACGGCACCTGCCAAATGTGCGGTGATCGTATGTCTGAGTGCCCGATTTGTCGTAAAGCAGTGGACAAGCGAATTCTACTGTATTAATAAGACAGAATGTGTATGACCACATTAAAGTTACGAGAATTCAAGCAATCGGCATGACAGGAAAGACAGTTTACACCTTCAACGTACTTTAATGTTTAATGAAATGCAATCCATTTACAGCCGATTTCTGTATCTGTGAACAGTCTAATGACTGCACTAAATCTTCCGTATACTTAACTCATCGGACAAATGAAATGAATCATGTATTGAACATTATGTAACGCTTAACCCGTTCCGCAATATTGGCATGTATGCATATGAACGAGTTCCTTAACGTTCCAGAATACTATGGCATATATTTGACAAGAACTGAATCATCTAATGTATTCGTCTATAGCAGGAGGCACATTATTGAGCATTAATTATTTAATATTTTTAAAAGCTATAAATTCTCAAATATAAATTCTAAATTCTGTGAAATGTTAAACATAATTTCTTTTTAAGTTAAACCGGTTAGGCTCCATATCTTTGTGTATACTTTCAAAACAAAAGAGTGCGCGTGTACTTGCAATAGAAAACGATCTTCCACAATAGATGATTCGGTTCATTACAGAGTAACAAAATGCAGATACGATATCACTGTTACAAAACAAATGCGTCAATGTGCTTGCCATATAATAAGGATTTAATTGCATTCTGTATGGTTTATGGCACAGTAACATTTCTGAGACGCGAAAAGTACAAACATGTATTTATTACTTTCTTGAATTGAACATATTGAATTAACTAGTGCATAACAGTGGTGTCATATTTAAGATCTTTAACTGGAAGTATTCCGACAAAAATTTAACATATGTGTGAAAGGCATATAAATTTTCCTAAAACAAGTTCTGCTCCTTAAACGGTATATACAGTTAATCTGAACCGCAAGTTCTGACGATAATTACGTTGATATTTGAATCAGCTGATAACAAATCCAGTTTAATGAATTAAAAATTAATTCCAGTTGCTTTATAGTTCCACGGACGTATTATGCACATTATTACATTACTCCTAATGAAGAACAATATCCGTGCTAGGCTTAAAGGACCTGGACATTACGAAAAACGATGATCAATATTGCAATACATAGTATTCCATCAATGACATGGTTCCAAATATTCTAACAATGCGTATCTGCCGAAGGAAAGCCAAAAACTGGCGTCATTCTAACTTTAATTGTCTCAATTATTAACGTAATCGTTATGTAAAACAGTATTTTTAAAATTATTCTTATTTTGTATTAGTCGAGCAACTTATTTACACAATGAACATCTACGGATGTTTCTTGATTTATTGTATGGTTTTTATGGGTCAACTATCACATTTGATGTTACACTTAATTTTAATCATGCATGGGTGTGGGAATTTATTGGATGTCGGATCTTCGTAAAAATCAGGGTTGCAGACTTATTGAATCTATAATTTTGTCAGTTCATTCGAAAATTAGATGATGTAAAAAATGTATGAAACACGCTGAAATAAATATAATGATTTTCATATGAAATAATAAAATGGATACTCAAGAAACTCACATTCGATGCAGTTATTCTATTACTTCAATGGATATTGTTATTCGGTTGCTTCAACGCCTTCAAACTATTTTTGTTTCCATTGTATCGGACCTCATGTTTTCATAGTTACATATATTTTACTAACTTCTGAAATGATTGTAACTTAACTAATACGGGCATTATTAAATTTGATTAAATTCTTCAATCAAGTAAAACAAAAAGCAATTTCTGCCTTATGATCGACTATGCACTATGGTCAATACCATGAAAGGGCTTTTAGTTTATTCCGAATTTATTATTTCATTTTAAGCAAACTAAACGAAGTTCTGCAATCCTAAGAAAAATAGTTAACGTACTATAGTGCTAGGTGACTAATATGCGTTTTCGTCATCACAATAGATGCGAATTATGTTCGTGCATTAGCAATAAGGTTATGGTATGTTGTTCACATAAACATAAGTATTGTAATCCTTTCATGATAAGATTATAATCCAATTATAATAAGACTACAACGCGAATTTGATGGCTATCAATTTTTAATGTAAAAGATTATTGTCTGAAACGGACTCTTGATGCAAATAGCTTACTGAGAATGAATTTACGGTCTTCAGATAAAGGATTCCGAAAGTAATTAAATGTTCGCGGCAAATTATGTACTGAAAACATAACAACATCATTCCTACGACTTCATTTTGACAAAATTAGTTTACAATTGCAAAATGTCACATTTCTGACGGATATTGGAAAAGAACGTTGAATTTATTATTAAACTGGTATCGTAAATCGCGCGCACGATAACTGAACGATAACAAGGAATAATTAAAGACTTCCCACCTCGATTTTATTTGAAATTCATGCTACATGTTCTTCAAACTTCAGATTCAGACAAGTTTATTAACATTCTACATTTAACATTCATTAACCCTTTGCACTCATTTATCGAGTGTGACTCGACATCTCAATAATTGGGAATGCAAAGGGTTAAAAAATACGCATCCCTAAACAAGGTGTAACAGAATTCGTAGTTACGGTTTACATGTTGTTCTTATTGAAAATGGAATAGAAATGTCTTGCACAATTTTTTTTATGGGGTATAGTTTTCTTGTAATAATTAATTTAAAAATAGTCGCGTTGATTAGCGGAACGCGAATATAAAGAAATAGTACAAATCTATTGACCGTTGACTGGACTTTCAACAAGGATAGCATTGTATAAATAATGACCGCAAATTCTGTTACACTCTATATAGATTGCAAAATCAAATTCCATTTAGCCTTCAAATTTTTCAGAATCTCCATGTTGAATAACTTTATTCAAAACTAAAATAGAGAACATTTTTAAAAGAGAAATTAATTTCTTTCTCCATTTGGTTGTACACAGTAAAAGGGTCCTTCGCTCTACGATCAACAACCACATAAGCAAATCCCAATATTCCTCATAAGAATCAATCTGAAATTTCAAAATGTAATGAGACTGTAGAATTTAATAAAGCTCTAGAAAAGAGCGATTCCAAAATTTATGAAAATATTTCTTAAAAGGAAGACTCTTAATTTTCAGAATCTGTCTTGATTAAGCAGCCACTCTAATTCAAAGTGCAGTACTCTACAGCGATTCTATTAAGGCATTGCTCATAGCTACAGTAGCCCTATCCATTTTGGTCCATTATAATCCATCTCTATCGCCACGCTTAGTTGTCACAGAATTCACGTTCGGAATATGCATCAAATTCGCGGTTTAATTATAATACATGTCCTACAGACCCTATATCGCTGATAGGTTTTCATCATTGACGAAAGCAATGTTATCGCTTCCAAATTAATGAAATAACAACTGCAATGCGTTTCTGATTCAATTGGGTAATTTAGGGAGAAAATGCTATCATTAACCATTCACATTTAATTGAAAACGTTTTCCGTTAACAAAATCGTATGACTTATGTACACCATTGCAAATATCTTTTATTTCGCAAGAAGATGTAAAGTGAATCCCTTCCAACCAAGAAAAGGTAACATACAATCTTCATTTTCTAATATTCTTATAATAACTATTCAAAAAACATACATTCTTTTCATGTCTTTTCTTATACTGTCGTATGTTATTGTACACTGCATGTCATACTATTTTATCAAAGTAGTGTCCTATTTAATATTGCATTTAAAGCTAATGCTTTATACAGTTTTACGGTGAAGAAATAAAATTTATAATTTCTGAGGGGTTATTCACTTAAAAATCAGTGAAAACAATTTCCTCCTTTAAGAGCCAATTGCGTTTGATTTCATGTTTGGCCTTAAAATTGTAACATTATTCGGTCATTTCCAATGATTTCTGCTTGCGATTTTCAGCTGATTTCCACACTATTTCAAGCATTAAAATCCATGATTTCCTAAGTGAATAACCCCTTGTTAATTTCTTCATTTTTACTGAAAATAGTTACCAATAATTGAAGATTAAATAGTGACGCTCCATGTATGTTTGTTTTCTAATAATAATTTGGAATAATCACATCACAAAAAAAAAAGAACTACATTCGCAAAGAAAACAATTAACCCAATGAAGAAGAATGTCAAACTGCACTGAGAAAATGATATGAATAGCAATAGATTCACATGCTTGACACTACATATAACTTAAGAAATACTACTTCTGTTTAATGTACATCTCTAAATGGAATTTAATTTGCCATCCTATTAATAAGTTACCTAAAAACTTTCATGTACAATTATTAATATGAACTAGAGCGTAAGGCTTTTATGTAACAACCCTAACGAATAAATCAATATGGCTGGCATGTTAAACAATATATGTATATATAGGTACATTTATTCATTGAAAAAGTCATGGGCCCTTCACAAAAGCTTCAAACTCTATATTTCCTCTGAAAAAATCGTATCCACTAGTACGACGCCTCAATTTGAACGAAAGAACCTTTTCTATGGAGAACGCGTACTTGCTCTCAATGGCGGCCCAACGAATTTCTGGTAGTCCCTACTCGCGTACTCGAAGTGATGACACGATCAAATGAAGTGTAAAGTCAAAGAGGGCGCCACGAGTGTTTGTCCCTTACCATAAAAAGCGAGCAGTGCCGGTAAGCATAGGTAAGCCACCACCGTCAACTGCCACATGGTATTACCCCAAAGAATACGTGAGCCGCCAACGGCGACCGATAGATGGCACGGCCATCGCGAGTGCGCGAGCCCCTACCAGAATTCGTTACACCGCCTTTAGGGGCAAAAACGATGAAAGCTAACGTACGAAACCAGAGGGCAGCACAGGATGCGATCGCGCGACCCTGCCCGTGAGCAATCTCTCAACTCATCTCTGCTCATCTATGTCGAAAAGTCTCAGTAACATCTGGTAACATAAAATTGAAGAAGGTAACTGTAAAACATACCGTAAGTTACCAAGAATATCGAGAATTTATGAAAACATTAATTTTTTTTTAATTTATATACTTTAAGTTTCTTTGTTTAAATAACATTTCTTTTCAATGCCCTTCGAAGTTCAAGTTAAAGAGCAATGAATATTATGAAAAAAAATATTAATTATAGAGTTTCATTTACTACCAGTTAAAAATATTTACATCCTATTACAAATGATATTTTAAGTAGAAACTGTAAACTCCATAGTTTTATTATAATTATCCACTGGTATGTAAAAAGTGGAAATAATTCGAAAAGGTTCCACTAAATGTCATTATTTAGTAATATAATCTTTACCATATATATTTCCTTTTACTTGATTAACTATTTCTAATTAATTTAATATTATTAGTAGAAAATGGCATATACTTGTGATCCTTCTGTCGAAAGACATTTTAAGGGTCATAAAAATGACATTACTGGTTTGTCCTTTCATCCAAGTTCAAACCAAATTATATCAAGCAGTTTGGATCGCACAATAATTGTGTGGAACTTTGGGGATTCTACAAGGGCATATCGATTTTCGGGACACAAAGATCAAGTTCTAGATGTAGCTTATGCTCCATCGGGAGAAGTATTTGCCAGTGTGTCAAATGATCGCTCCATTAGAATATGGGTACCTAAAATTCGAGGGCACTCGTTAAATTTTGGTTCCCATATGGGTGCAGTAAGATCAGTTCGATTTAGTCCTGATGGCAAAAAGGTAAGTTTACTGAGTTACATATGTATAGTTAAAAATTATACATAGAATATGTTGAGGAATTGTCAATAAATTTTAATTATGAGAAATTGTTTGATATATTATTGACTATACTTTTCCAGCATATTTACCAATAACATTATAATTTATACTTTCTTAAAATTTCATAGCATTTAAAAAAAAAGTATCATCTTTCATTTAAATTTTAGCTTATAACGGCTTCCAATGATAAAAGTATTAAATTATGGGTATTATCTCGAAAAAAATTTCTTACGTCATTCATGGGCCACACAAACTGGGTCAATACTGCAAAATTTTCACCAGATGGGAGATTGGTTGTGTCTTGTAGTGATGATAAAAAAATTAAATTATGGGATACAGTCAGCGGTCGAAATGTCAAGACATTTCATGAAGTAAAAGGTTAACATTGTTTTAAAGAATACAGGCCATGTAGATGGCTTTTAACTAAATATTAATTTTAACATTTGACCGATAACAATATGAACTTATTAGAGGCAGCTTCTGATGTGGAATTCCATCCAAGTGGAGCTGCTATTGGCACGGCAAACATTGGAGGCAGCATAAAAGTGTATGATTTGAGGACTGCTTGTTTATATCAACATTACGATTGCCACAAAGGACCTGTTAGTAAAATTAGGTTTCATCCTAATGGAAACTTCATGTTAACAGCTTCGTGGGATTCAACAATGAAGGTACATTTTATATTTGATTTATTAACATCTACTTTTACCAGCTTTCTTATTTTTTGCTAATATGATGTTTACTAAAAAATTACAGATTCTTGACCTATTAGAAGGTCGGCCAATTTATACACTGAAGGGACATTCTGGACGAGTCACAGCAATTCAATTTTCTACATGTGGTGAACATTTTATTTCCGGTGGATCCGACAAACAATTGTTCATGTGGAAATCTAATTTTGATAAAGATGATGTTATCAGAAAAATTCCACGAAGGCTAATACCATGTAATGCGAAATTGAAGTTAGATAGTGAACTTTCTTCCGAATCAACAATTGACAATGATTTCATTGGTCAACAAGAAATTCACGAACAAGATGAATCTGAGGTAATTATAAAAGCAAGAAACTTTTTATCATTTCTGTATCACACTCTAAAATGCACTTTTTCTGTAATTTGCAAAAAAATACTCTAAATTTTGCTGTATCTTTGGACATAACCATAAATAAGGTTAATTTTTCTACAAATGTTATCAGTAAAAATATACAAACTGTTGGTCAATAAAATACAATTTTGGATGCTCAATACTGGTAGGAAAAAATATGTTTGGAATGAATTCAATTTTCTCTTTTGTTTAGTCTCTTTCAACATATATTGACGAATTGAGTATTGAACGTTCACTTCATGGAAGAACTTGTACTGGACCATTTTCTGACATGCCTCGCGATGAAGTGGATGCGGAGGTGATCAATATGCGGAACATGAGAAATCCAGGCAGAGGTCGTGTGGCTACTCTTTCACTTTGTGAACATGGAACTAGATCTACGTACAAGATCACCTAGTCATAGTACCATCGAGATATTTGATAATTGAATAGATACACTGAATGACATTGTGGCAACCATAAATAAACGTTTATCTGTGCAACAAAAGGAGATTAAAAAGTAATTGTTAAAGAGAAGAGAAGTGATATTTACCATCTTTGTTAAAAGAAGATATTTACTGCTGTAGGAAAGAATGAGCGCTATCATAATGAACTTGCCATAAATAGTTCATTTAGTACCACACTTTCTATCGGGTGTGAAGCAGAATTTTATATACAGATACATTTATTCAATAAATATTTACTAACGTTGACATAATTAATGGCGTAATTATAGAATAAATTCTCTCATTTAATCTTGGAAAATCATATTCTTTTGCTTAGTTTTGTACATTATATCACATAGTACACTCAGTTATAAATTTCGTATCTACTGCATTGTAAACTGTTTGCAAATATAATATAGATCTTCATATATTCATTGAAAGCTGCCTGAAAGTAAAATTCAGGTGTTGCCATATATTCTTACCAATTGTAAAATGTATTACTTATTAATTCCTACGAATGTACACGATTTACCAGTCTTCTTAATATAACTCAAAATTTCATCCGAAGATAATGTAGAAGTAACTAATACTTTTTTTCCTGGGAGGTCGACAGTAACATTATCTATACCTACAAAGCAAAAGCGTTGAAATTAATTCACTCTGCTATCACATGTAAGGTTCTACAAAAAAGCCATTCTATACATATTAAAACATCAAAATATTTATAAAACTTTTTCCCAAACTGGGTGCAGCAAATCATTTGAAACTTCAGCACGTGATTATGGAGCCCCTGAAATAGAATGTGATGCTCATGAAATTTCATTTTTCAAAAAACACATCCTAGGTTGTAGTTTGGAATAAAAAAATGTATTTTAACAATAAAATTTCGTGAGCATCGCATTCTTCCTTAGGGCCACCTTAATCACATGCTGAAGTTTAAAACAATTTAGTGCATCCAGTTTGAAATGAAATTTAATAAATATTTTGACATTTTGATACATATAGACTGATCCTTTCATAATACTTCACCACATTCGGACACTCTCAGAAAATTAGTACAATTAAATTAATACTTGACACATATGATTAAAAAAAAATAAGATACCTACAAATTATCAAGAAAAAAGAATACATTGAAATGCTTATTAGCTTATCAATAACTAAACATGAGAAGATTAACACTATATAAAAATAGTAATTTTTCTTACAAATGTTAATACTTTTGACATTTTCCTCACCTGCCTTGTTACAAAGCACTTTCTGTACCGCATTGGAACATCCTTCACATGTCATCTCCACGTCAAAAACATACGTCTGAAATAAATGAATTACAATTCCGAACCGCTCACAATATAATAACATAAGTTATACCTGAGTTGCCATTTGAGGACACGAATTTATAAATATGGCCTATATCCGTGTACAGTTTAAGATGTTTGAATAATTTTGACTGAACTGAACCAGTTTGCCACGTATTTCATGGACGTAAGAATATATCGACCATTGCCAAGAGATTACAGAGATAAGTTGGGAGATTGCTCACGGGCAGGGTTTCGCGATCGCATTCTGTGCTGCCCTCTGGTTTCGTACGTTAACTTTCACCCTTTTTTGCCCCCCAAGAGCGGTGCAACGAATTTCTGGTAGGGGCTCGCGCACTCACGATGGCCGTGCCATCTATCAGTCGCCGTTGGCGGTTCACGTATTCTTTGGGGTAATACCATGCGGCAGTTGACGGTGGTCGCTTATCTACGCTTACCGACACTGCTCGCTTTTGATGGTAAGGGAAAAACATTCGGGGCGTCCTCTTTGACTTTACACTTCATTTACCCTATTTATTTTATCCGCAAATGATGCAGGCAAAACTACAACGTGGGTGTTGAGAGTTAAATTATACTTTATATACAATTTTTGCAGCAAGCTCGATTTCGATTAACTGCTCATGATGATTTTACCAAAAATGGCTGCTTCCAGGGGATCCACCTAAACCTGCAAAGGGGCACAAAAATACAGGTAAAACAGATCATTGAAGAAACACCAGGAAGTTGCCAGATACTCCGAAGTGGTCCACCTAAAGCTGAAAGGGAACACAAAGGCACAAACGAATCCATTGGGAAAGCGAGAAAGAGACGGTATACAAGAGCTAATAACTTACGAAAGTTGCCATTAAAGTCAATAATATTTCGCAGTGCATCGATCTCGTATAATTGATCCAGTAAAAATGTATTCAATTGTACATTAGCTGGCGTGACAAAAATCTAATATATTTATCATACTTAAATGCAGACTCGAGAAAATTTCGTGAAAACGATAGTTCACCGTCTCTCCCCGTTAATCCTGATAAAATACGTATAAAAATATAGGAGGGACAACGTGGCCAAATAAATGATGATTGTCCGTTCTTTCGAACGAAAGACCATCGTAGTTGCCCTCTTCTTAAGGGGCCGCTTCGGCATATAGCCTCTTCGACTCTTGAAGTCTCTTCGGGTAGAGCCCCCTACGTCTCGAACGCTTGGCAATCTCCTGATTTGTCGGATTAATAAAAAAAAAAAAATCGCGAACAGATCTAAAAGCTAGCAAAACG